TTCCCAACAAACAGTCACACTCCTTACGTTTGGTAATGCACGACAAATGGCCCATTAACTTTTCTAATGACAGTTGTTAAGAAACACATTTGCAATTTTTAATCATCTTTATTTCCCCAAACTAATGACTAGAACTAAAATGACGATATACAGTCAGCATGAATATGTTTTGTACGAAGATTAAGGGCCTATCCCACCACTGATAGAGGCTCAGATAGCTTAAAAATAACCTCACTGTAAGATAAAAAATCCGATATTTCCATCAGATATTTCACACGTTAGTTATCAGACTATTAAGAATTCGGTGGACAGGCCCTTATTTATTAATTTTACACCTCACATACGCCCCTTTTCCCCAACGGATGGTAAAAATAGGCGCATTTTTCTTATGATTACAAATAGTTTGCGCTACTGAATTGCTAGATGACATATATTATACTCTCAAAGAATGTCACTTTATGCAGAGGGTCACTTAGTGTTATTTGACTATAGATTAAAAATATTTAAATCTTCTAATCTAAGATAATACGAGCTTCTAAGAGAAATAGAATGATTGTAAATCGACTTTTTTCATCAATATACTATTACATTGTAGTTCTTTAATAGCTTTCACCGGCGACTTCGTCCGCGTGGAATTAAAAAAAAAACAAAAGCGTGTAGCCTATGTGTTCTTCCAGACTATCATCTACATCTATGCCAAATTTTATAGACATCCGTTCAGCAGTTTAGGCTACAAACTCTAACAAACATCCATCCATCTAAACTTTCGCATTTATAATATTAGTAAGATTTAGTACCGGACAATAATAGTATGACAAATTATATATTTGAAAAGTTATGCTTATTGTCAATGGCTATTCTAAAGATTAAGCAATGCGCTGCACAATGGAAATGATTTTTTTACGACCGTCCTTTAGGGTTTGCTTCTTACGAAAGAATTGAATAGGTGAGACTACTTGGGAATACATATTGCAGTAAATATTGTATACAAATATGTAATGTTGGGAATCGGTATGGTCACAGATTAATTATAACCTAAAAATGGAGTTTCATAAAAACTTGAATTCTAATCGAGGCTCGATTTTCTAATTATCCAATATTTGTATTTTTATAAGTAAACGTATGTATAAATGAAATAAATTAATTTAACATCATAGTAACTGTATTTTTAATAAATTTACCATGTGGTTAAATTTATGGATTGAAATCATGATAAAATTAATTTTAACTTTGCTATAATTTAAGCGCCTGTGAAAAATGTTTTCAGTCTTGATTAAAATTTGCTATTGTAATTACTTAGGCACTCTTTGCTTTAAGATTGTAATATAGTCTAATGAAAAAATCTGGAAGGTTAATCTTTTAAATTTCGTTAAAAGTATTCAGTTAGTCCTAAGAAAAATTTATAAACTCTACCTGGTAAGGAAGTTTAAAACGTCATATTTATAGCTTAACGGATAAATTTTATTTATCCCGTGTTGTTCTTAATCTGACCAATAAGAGACTGGAATAATATCTACAAATGATAACTACGTCTGGGTCGCTGAGATCAAAATATTTTTTTGTCTGTATTTTTTATAAAGCTCTGTTCACATGAATGACTAACCATTATTATAATTATGAATTTATTTATACGAATAAAATGAAATAAGCGGATAAAATACTAAAGGCCTGTCCTACCAAATTTTAAATTGTCAGATAACAATCCAACGCCTAAAAGATGTAATGGAAATATCCGATTTTGTTACCTTATCTGACATAGACGTCATTTTTAAGCTATCTGAACCTCTATCAGTCAATGGTGGGACAGGCTCTTATGACAAAATATCAGAGAATAATAATAATAATTTCATTGTTGTTTGATGTGTTTTGTGTCTCATATGGACTATAAAAAAATAGTCCAATTTTATTATTTTACAGTGTAAATGTGTTTTTATCGTACAATCATCGCAAATGTTAACACGGTTATTGTGACGTCAAATGAACTTCTGACCAAGTTAACTCTATTTTTTTTATTTTGTTTTTAAATGTATTAAAACGATGAAGGTTTTCCCAGTGTTTGTTGTGTTGTTTTGTTTTAAAAATGTTACTACGGATAGACTTGATGAACGTTTTCGTCTTTTGTATTCGGATGCAGTAAAATGTGAGTACATACTATATATAATATAGTCATTGTATTGATGTTTCTTAGATACAATAAACATTGACTTGCGCGGAACTAGTGTTGGGCACTATTATGACCACATATATTACGACAGTCCTGACGATGTTTTAAAAGTGTTTACCCCGGAACAGAAAGGTCTCAAGTCAGTTTTCTATTCGGATAAAGTTTTAAAGACAGGATTTAAGGTTGCAGTTATGTCGATTTTTTTAAAAATATCATACCTAAGGTTATAGATTAAACAAAAAAAGATGCGTTACGATATACATAGTCTCTGAGAGACCTTACAATTCTTTAGGATTATGGTACTAATTTAATCAAAGAACAATTTATGAAGCTGAGACTCTCGTCATAATTTGATTATCTTCTCGGATATTTTTTCTTTATTCAGACACGTTAAGTTTGGTTTACTACATTATTTGGCAGTCCACTAAATTTCTATTTTTTTTCTATAATATAAGGTGGCAAACGAGCAAGCGGCCACCTGAATCCACCGAAATGGAAAGCTACCGCTGCCCACAAACGTCCGCAATTGCAGATGCGTTGCCTACCCTTAATTGAAGGAGAAGGAGACGCACATAAAGAGGACATTTCCACTTCCTATGCGTTTCCTCCACCGTCATTTCCACTTTTCCTTTCCATCCTTTCCTCTTAAGAAAAGTGTGGAAAGATAAAGGGACTAAAATTAGGCTTCCAGAACCACACTCATCAGACGAAACGCGGAATTGCTTCCACTTCACGCGTGTTTTCTGTGTGGTCGCGGTATTACACCGGGCGAGCCGGCCCATTTGGCGAACTAGGCCAAAATATTAAGTTATTAACGATTGTTCATATTTTCAGGTAATTTCAACAAAACTCTAGATCTACAAGTCAATGAAACTAAAGTGTATTTTTATGATTTCACCAAAAACGTTAATGTTGTGTGTGACATAAATTCTGCGGTTGATTGTATCACAAATGCTATAATTCTAGATATATCTAGACGTCTAATTGTATTTGTTCCCGGTTACAAATGTTACATCAAACGTGATATCGAAGAGTCGATAAGACAAGCATACAAGACAATTCCTGACGTATATTTAATTATTTTAGACCATTCCGCATATACTTATGAGAATAAAGAAAAATTAAAAAGTTACGAGAGATCTGTTCTTTACTCTTTTTATATAGGAAACGCGTTGGGTAAATTTTTAGCTGATTTTAATAGATTTGGATATCCTTCGAAGAATTTTCATTGTATTGGACACAGTTTGGGTGCCCATATTTTAGGGTACGCTGGAGAAAGGTACTTTGTAGAGACCTCTGAGAATGTATGGAGAATTACTGGATTAGATCCAGCTGGTCCTTGTTTTGCAAATTCTCCAAAGGAGGAACAACTAAGGTCTGGGAATGCGGTTTATGTAGAGGTGTACCACTGTAATGCTGGACATTTGGGTACGACCAACGCTATCGCAGACGCAGATATCTTTTTTAACCGAGAAGGAAAGATACAACCGGGATGTTCAAAAGGTAAAATTTATTGATTATTTTAGGTACTTCTACTTAAAGCCTACGCTCAGTTCTGACAGTATTAACCCAAGAGTCGAATTGTTTATTTATAATTATGCATTTATAGATGAGCGTCGGTGGCTCAGTGGTTTAAGCATTTGACTTGTAATCTATAGGTCTTGGGTTCGAATCCCGCTGTACCAATGTCATTTTTGATTTTTCGAATTTTCAAATGTACATAATTTACCCGACGTTCTTACGGTGAAGGAAACATGATGCAACCTGCACATATCGGCGAAGAAATTCAAAGATATGTGTGAAGTCAACCAACCCGCACTGGGCCAGCTTGGTTGACTATGGCCTTGACACCCCTTATTAGGGTAGGCCCCGAGCCCCTCGGTGGGGACGCATAGTTAGCTGGTGATGATATGTAGATGAATTTTGTACTGCTGATAGTACTGATCAATTTAACTGTTCAATAAAACAGTCAGAACTGAGCGATTTTTTTTACTTTAAGTTTTCAAACTAAACGTAAATTATTCTCCAGGGCTAAGTGACGAAGATCTAGCTAAATGCTACCACAAAACGTGTGTACTATATTGGACTAGTTCAGTACTAAATTCAATCTTGTACCAAGCGGTCGCGTGTCCGTCTTACGAGGCTTATTCCGCTGGCACTTGTATTACAAAAACTACTCCAATTGGACATTCGACAGTCGTCAAAGGAAGATTCTACGTCACAACTGAATCTGACCATGTTACCGACAAGTTGTGAACTTCGACAATGGACGGAAAGGCAATCAGCAATTTACTTTTACTTCAAGTACATGGCATATTTTATAATTTGAAGCATCAAAATCGAATTTTAAGTGAAGTGGATTTTCTATTTGTCTATTAAAATAAGAGATAGTTTAGGTTTTTGTAACTGTAGTATGTAATGGCAAGAAGGAAAAGAAGGTCGTTTTCTCCACATTTTTATTTAACACAGTCTCAGACATTAATAATTATTAAAGCTTAATACAAAATAAATCTATATTAATTCTATAACAGAACAATATCTTTAACATCTAAAAATCTTACATAACAACGACTTTGTGATCTCTGTTTCTTATGTATAAAGTTTTATGTATGTATATTACAATAAATAGAAGTAGAAGAATTGTAGATACGCAATTAAAAACAAGTTATATTTGACCTTATTTAATTTCCCTTATCTATATATGATAGATAAAAAAAAACATACAGACGAATTGAGTACCTCCTTTTGGGAAGTCGTTTAAAAAGCATTTAACATAATTTGAAACTGTCATCTATATTACAAAACATATGCGCATGCAATAAATTATCTTGCAGTAGGAAGAGTATGGCATGAAATATATACTAATATTATAAATGCGAAAGTTTAGATGATTGGAGTTTGGAGTCAAAATTTGGCCTAGACGTAGAGAATAGTCTGGAAGAAGACATAGGCTACTCAATTTTGTTTTTTTTTTAATTGCGGACGGAGTCACGGGTGTAACTCAACATCAGTATGATGTTTTCTACTTTGGGGCGTTAACAAACATTTACGCCTTTTTACAAGAACACAAACAACATGCGGGTAATTTTACATGTATTATTTCAGTATCGATTTCACCTTTAGTGACTAAAAGTCTAACTGTGGCATAGCTCTGTTTGCAATACGATACAATGTTAGATGGAAAGAAATCGTAGTGAAGACATTTTCCAAATTCCTTCCTGAAAAAAAAACTTTTGTAAAAAAAACTTAAATTTAGGGTAATTTCATCCAACGTCTGATAAATGTACATATTAAATTCGAGAATTTAAAAACACAGTACAGACGCACAAACCCGCGGCGTTCCACTTCAAAAAAAAATCCCTTGTTCATTACAAATTACAACGAGACAAAATTCGCATATTCCTACAAATAACTAATTATTGTGTGTAATAATTCAGATTAGTTTGACAATTCATTTCAAATTTAGTACGTAATCGAATTGGATTTCGCTATTATTTCTGTCATCGCTAAATTCTCTACACTATAATCAATACTAGAATTGTATTATAAATTAGTTTATAAGAAAATAATAGTTTTAGTTGAGTTGGATAATTATTTGTTCGCTGCGTGTTTGTTTCGTCACTACGATACCTGTCTACTAAGTACGGCATTTCCCTTCATGCAAATTGAATTCGATACTTCATATGCGTCATTTATCAAACTAATCTATCTTATTTAGACACACTATAGATAGCAGTGATTGCAAACAAATGAATAATAAAAAAAAAACTATTCGTGTACCACTGACAGATATTTACGTACAGACACATTTAATAGTTGAGTTGTATTGCTTTTTGTTCTGCGTCTCGTTTCAAAATGTTCCAACAATTGTAGCTTTTAAGTAACACCGCCAGTTTCCCCGATTGTACATATCGACCTCTATTTTACAAGTTTCATGCAAAATCAATGAGAAATCGAGTCACAGTACAACTACGTACGAAATAGAGTTAATATTTAAGTACTAAAGTAAACTTACTTGCACTTAACAATGTAGACATGTTGGTTGTAACCGTAGTCCGGCGCTTGTATAACTATCCGCCATACATTTCTATTATCTTTTACCATATTCAAAGGTTTTCTCTAAAATAAACACAATGCATTATCAAAGAATTCTCAACAATTTACTTAGGGCACGTCCCATTACTAGCTGATAGAGGCTCAGATAGCTTAAAAATGACATCACTGTCAGGTAAGGGAACAAAATCCGATTTTTTCATCACATTTTTTATATGTTGGATTGTTATCAGACAATTTCCAATTTGGTGGGACAGACCCTTAGTATAGTATGTTATCTGTGGTACTATTTTATTTTAAAACCCAACAAAAATATGAAAACGTAGCGAAAGGAAATTTTTAATCCAAATTGTTAAATGTGGCGGATTAAACCAAGTACAGATCCTGATGAAGTATGGAATAGGGTTAATGTATAGCATCATCATCATCATCATTATCATCATCATCATCATCATCATCATCATCATCATCATCATCATCATCATCATCATCATCATCATCATCATCATCATCAACAACAACAACAACAACAACAACAACAACAACAACAACAACAACAACAACAACAACAACAACAACAACAACTTGCCCTTGTCCCTACTATAGGTCACAGTATGTGTTTCTCCACACACTTCTATCAGCCGTCATATCTGAATCTACTCCCTTTTTAAGGACTTTCACACAATCCATACATACTTTCTTCTGTCTGTATAGACAGAGGTATCTGTGGAATGCGAAGGGTAATATTTTTTTTCAATCATCGTTTTAATTTGAGACTGCTTACCTCTATTTCAGTTTCGCAGGCATTATATTCGATTTCCCCGTATCTGTTGTCTAATTTTACGTCAACTGCACGTAAAGATGGTTGCGGGAATACCGTCTGTTGGAATAAATGCATTTATTTAATATGATGTTTAAAATGTAAAATATATCAAATGAATTTAGGTAATAATATAATAATCTATAAATAAACTACCAAAACTACCAACAATAGTAGAAAATAGACAAAATACAATTGTGTGACGCGTGTGGCAGCACCAGCTTTCAGATCTCTCTCACCAGATACGTAAAAAAATACAAATCTATGTAATAAATCGGGAATAACCACGAGTTACATATTGATAAAATAGGTTATATTAGATTAAGAGCCTGTCCCACCACTGGCTGATAGATCAGATAGCTTAAAAGTGACGTAACTGTCAGATAGAGTAGCAAAATCCGATATTTCCATCACATGATTTATACGTTGGATTTTTATCTGACAATATGCAATAATTTTGGGACAGGCCCTAAATCTCGAATTAGATACAAACTTACTTTGTTTTTAAACATGTTGTTGAATCGCTCTTGGGGATAGTATTTGGGCATTACCGTGCAGTAAGTCTTATTTCGACATTCCTTTGGCACGTGCATTATGTGGATATCTGTGTCACGTCCAGAAAAACAGGGTTTACCAAACACTCGTCTCAATTGCGATATATCTGGGAAGATATTAGAAACATAAATAAACACATTTGACGAAACTTATCATACTTTTTTTAATTACAAGGTGACAAATAAGCACGCGACCACATGTATTATCCAAAAGCAAAGCGACCGCTACCCATAGATATGTCATAGAAGGTGCATCTACCTTTAGTTGACGGAGTAGACGCACAGAAAAGGAGTCCTCTATGCGTTCCTTACCTAATCTCACTTACACTTACCATCCTTTCATTATAAAAACTAACTTCGTTTCCGTGGCAAAAAAAAATATAATAAAAATGTAGCCTATGTTACTCACTGATGCGTTAGCTTTTAAATGGTGAAAGAATTTTTAAAATCGGTCCAGTAATTTTTGAATTATTTCAATACATAAAAAAATACAAATCTTTCCTCTTTATAATATTAGTATAGATAAGGAGGGAAAGAATATTCACTCATCAGACGGAACGCAAAATTGCTTTCACTTCAGCCTGTCTTGTGTGATCGTATTACACAGGAAGGGCCGGCCCATTCTTGTAACAAATGTTGCAGGCGTCTACCACTTTTTATTTTTGTATCAAAAACTAGCTGTTCCCATGCAATTTCATCCGCATAAAAGTAAAAAAAAATCATTTTATTGTTCATATTTGCCAAATTATCAGTTGCAAATGTCATGATGTCAAACCATGGCAACCTTGTTTCCTTGATGTTGTCAACAACTTATGGTCTCTTTCCCACATTAGGATTTTTATCCAAAATATTTACCCCCTAAGTTTAATGGCCTAAAAATATATAGCCTAAAGCGTGACATAAGTGTAGGGCTTTTTATTAAAAAAATAATTATTCAAAAATATGCTGTAATTGCTGACATCTTAGGCAACAAAGAAGAGTATGTTTACGCTTTATTATAATAGTAAGATAGATAATACAATAAAGTAACTCACCTTTTAATGACACTATGCCGTACGCCATCTGGATACAACTGACCGCGATCTGATAAAAAAAACATAAATATACCTTATATACTATAACTAATATACATCCATCACCAATGACATTATATTTTACTAGCTTTCGCCCGCTAATCCGCGTGGAATTGAAAAAAACAAAAGTGCTTAGCTTATGTGTTCTTCCAGACTATCTTTTACATCCTTGCCAAATTACATCGAAAGGCGTCTAGCCGTTTAGACTACAAACTCTAACAAACATCCATCCATCCAAACTTTCACATTTATAATATTAGTAAGAAGTAAGATTAAAGTAAATATACAATGAATCTAAATGACATGCAGAGGAACTACGCCAATAATTTCTTTAGATTTGTAATTTTCGTCATTTCCTATTATTTCTTGAAACCTTATTTATTCCATATTGGTTACGTCACGAGTTTAAAGTCATCATCATCATCATCATCTCCTTATCCTACTCCCGTAGGGTCGGCGCAACAGGTTTTTGTCCTCCACATAACTCTATCATACGTCATCTGTCATCACTCCCATTTTGATCATGTCACCTTTTACACAATCCATCCATCTCTTTCTAGGTCTACCTCTACCGATGTACCCTTCCACACTAATAACTAACGAGTCACGAGTTTTAAGTGTTTAATGTAAAATAATATGAAGAAATCTTACAATAAAGAGAGATGTAACGGAAACCATCTTGATTAGTGTTCTTGTCTTTTCCTGCTGCACGAAAACTGTTGATTTAATATTGAAAATACCACTTGCACTCCTATCCAAGCTTTAATTAACACTGAACATATATGATTTGATGTGATTTATATATATTTAATATGTTAAACATTTCCCTATCATTATTCATACTTTACCAAAATCAGCAAAATCACATAAAAAAGGTACTTTCCTTATATGCTCTCTGACTTTATGTTTACAAACATCGACTATGGGGATCGCCAAAATGGACCGAGGGGGCTACTCCCTCTTAAACCCCTAGAGAAATAAAAAAGCTTAACAATGCTTATGTTACTCCGAGTGCCACGAATTTAGTTTTCGATGGATTTAGCTACATTATTGTTAAACTATTTATAAAAATGATTACCAAAACGTAAGATAAAATGTGTCATTTATGAATTTGCATTTCTGCTAAGTTGTATATTAACTTAAGTGAGGTCTTAATGGACGGTACTGGCTTGAACCTCAATCCGGAAT